ACGCATCTCTCGGTTAGATTTGAAGCAAATACGTGTGGCGCGCTCGTACACACCATCACTCTAGGCGACATCTTTTTTCATTGCTGAAATGTCTGATGCTCTAGAATAGTTTCTTAATATTAAATTTAATAAGCCCAAGCTTCAATTTATTTCACAGTAGTCAACTTTTGTGTAACCATGACATTGATCTATAGAGGACTTCATTTAGTAACACCAGCGTAATGGTTGCATAACAAATTTTCGATTTTGTTCAAATTTTGGCTCATTTTTTCGCCTGTTGGAGAATAGTGAGGTGCACAAAAGCTGATCCGTACCAAAGCTCTTATCGCGATGTTTTTTATGCCATTGTCGCACAGATTAAAATACGCTTGGTGCAAAACGCTAGTATCAACGTGAAATATTGACACTATGCACTTAACGTATATCACACACGCTGAATTAGTTCTTCTTAGCTAAGTGAAGAGGCTAAAATTCGTTCGCGAGTATCGTTTCGTGCCTCGATTGCTGAGTGATAGTATGATGACCTAACTGTACGGACGAACTAAAGCCTTTCTCGATCAAGGAACGTCCTTTGAATAGCCAAAGAGCATGTGAGCAGAGAAGAATTTAAATATGGTTGCAATCGGAGCATGTACACATGGCTCATAATAAATACGTAAATCAAGTAGCTTTTCTAGTCGGCAATCCCGAAAGCAGTCTTCCAGAAGAGCGTTTCATCAGTATCCGTTTGACCTAAGTTGTCGGTCTTAATTTAGAGCAAGTAGTTAATTGATTTCAGTCTATTCTTAGATTATGTGCTACTGTGATGAAGAAACAGCTTATTAAGTCAAAAAATGACTTGCTAAGCTTTTTGTATCAACACTCAAGTTGAACACACGCTTAACTTAATTTGTGACCATTTAAGCTTCAGCATTACTTCGGAGTATCAATGAAGCGATCTCCAGGACTCCTGTTACACAACTTCTCATTAGAGATCTGCACGGGCAACCTTTTTCTATCCGTTAACATTACAGAGAATCTTTGTAGACGTCGTTGTATATTATCGACTAACGATGTTTATTTTTCTCTCTTTCAGTTTGTGTCTTATGTAAATCTCGGTTATTATGGTAAGAGATCGACTCACCGAACTAATCATACAACCTAGAAACAGAGCTGTGTATGTTGTTTAGGCATCATCAACTGTTCAAACAAAACGTCCTCAGGTAGCGAGTGGTGCAGCGAAAAAACGGGGTCAAGCTGGCTCGCGCCCAGAGTTAACAGAAGAACAAAAGCAAGAAATACGCGAAGCATTCGATTTATTTGATTCCGATGGATCGGGCACAATTGATGTCAAAGAACTGAAAGTGGCCATGCGTGCATTAGGTTTTGAACCTAAAAAGGAAGAAATTAAAAAAATGATAACCGATATTCAAAAGGAAAATGCATCGACAATTGATTTTAATGATTTCTTAACATTAATGTCACAAAAAATGGCTGAAAAAGATTCAAAAGAAGAAATATTGAAAGCATTTAGGTGAGACCAAAATTGAATGTACTACATTAGGCATGGAGCAGCGTTTCCGAAATGAAATTTCCTTTCGTACTGGAGAATCTTTGTGGCTTGTAGTTTTCTCCGTAGTAAAAGATTCTTAATAAGGTTTTTATCATGTTAAATACGATAGAAATTAACTAAGACCCACAACAAAACCGCCGATACAGTGCACGAGTCTAGCTTTTCCTTTGTCTATTTGTTTATCTAGATTATTTGATGACGATAATACTGGTAAAATTTCGTTTAAAAATTTGAAACGTGTAGCCAAAGAATTGGGTGAAAATTTAACCGAGGAAGAATTACAGGTAGGAGGTGTGAGTAAGATACTGTCACTTGTCGATTCAAAAACATGTTTAAATCTGTTTAGGAGATGATCGACGAAGCAGATAGAGATGGTGACGGCGAAATAAATGAACAAGAATTTCTAAGAATAATGAAAAAGACGTCATTATATTAGTGGACAAATGACATCATCATTCCATTGTTTCTTCTTTCTTCGATGTCTTGTGATCTCTTTCCCCACTCATTTGAGAATGGCACTTTCTTTTCTACATGTAATTCCATACTTGTTGTTATTTGCGTTTTCTTTAAAATAATATTGATATTTTTTTGTTTGTCAGGTATTTCTTATCGTCTCTCTCTTAAGTATGTTTGTGTGTAGTTTTTTTGTATATATAACAAGAAAATTTTTGTCTAGGAAATGTTCAATGATAAACAGTAATAAAGACTTCTAAATTATCCAAAATATTAAGTGTAACAGTGAGCTTGTATAATTTTTATTCTTCTTCTAGTGTCGCTCACAAAGTTGGTTTTTAAACCATCCGATTAGAAAGATTGTGATCAATAAACACATTTTTAATGTTGAGCTACGGTATTGAGAAAAAATGAAAATTAATGTTAATTTATCACATTTTATTCGTTGAAGAAACATAATTCTCATCTGATATTTCGTATAATAGTGTAAAAAGAATTCTATCACTCTTGAAGTAAGTTATGTGAATTCAAATAGATAGTAACTGTTCGTGGGCTCAAAAGGCAGCGACAGAGAGTTTTGAACCAAGTATTGCTTATACAATAAAGAGATAATAAGCGATTTTGACAATGCTTTTATGTGCAGGTTGTATGAGTTTATAAATAAGAATAGTCGATCCTGCCGATAGCAACAGCAAATATTTACAAAGTAGCCAATATTTGATGCTGGAAAAGTGAGTGTATCCAATTGTCAATATTTGTCTACAGCTGGCATAGTCTAATTATCTATACAGTCACATTAGCGTTAGTATTACTGGCTCTGACGTGGATCTGAGAAACGAAATTACTTGACCTATACATCAGTAAAATGAAATAAAAGAAAAGAGTTTTGTTATTGTATAAACAATTTTAGTATTTGAAAATTTGACCATTATTTTCTAGAATGTTGTACGAGAATCCCACATATCCAGCATCAGTGTGTTCACTCACGTTGCGCGGTACATAGGTCTCATCGACGTACTCGCAGTTATTCCTTGGTGTTTTGGTGTTGAGACTTCATACTTGGATACACTATATTTTAACTCAGTCCACCTCCCAAACTCTTATGTCTGAATGATGTCGTTTTCCATTTAAATCATAATCAACTACATATCGCAGGAATGAACGCTGATAATCACATCGTGCAGTTTAAAAAAGTGAAAGAAATGAAAAGTTGCGCATCGGATAATGAATAATTAAGTTTACTCAGAGGATTTCACACTTAGTATTATTTTGTTAACATTTAATTAATAACATTTCATAACTGGACG